CAAACACTCTCAAAAATATCTTTGAATAATATAAAAAAATCTGGGAATAAATAGGTTTGAAATTGAAATTTTCTGAACGTATTAAAATCTCAGGGCAAAACAAAACAACCTGTGCATATCTCTCCATATTTTCGAGATAAGCCCGAACTTTGTGTGGCATCATCAGAGTATTATGTTGAAAAAACAGAACCAAGTCGCAGTGCAGGAATGAACTCCATTCATATTATTAACATATTAACTTATAATAAGTATATAACAAACCTTTTTACTCTGCTTCATAACAAACCCTGAGTCGTTGGATCAAAAACATATTATAGCGCAGTGGCGTGGATACTGACATATTCGGTAGTCATAGTATTCGACACTCAGCCACTTCCTTAGCATTTATATCGGGTGTCAATATACAGTGTGGTCCACTAAGTGTGCAACAAATGGGAAACTTTTTTATTATCGATTTATCAGAAAATTTTATTCTGGACAAAAGTTGGTGCATGTTCCAAAACTATACCAAGTGTACCTGAAATGGCTTTATGACAAACACCATACAGGATAGGCCAAAAAATATAAAGTTAAACGTTTTACAGGCAAGTTTTGAGAAGCCACACTATCAAACTACAGTATTGTTTTAGGGCGTATGTGTTTTTTGTTCATGGCTATCCGCGATAGATTTTGGATTGTTTTTTAATATCTGTTCTAGTTGAGGCATTGTTGTCAGAATAAAAGAAATTTTATACTTTTATTGCGTTAGTAAAGTATTTGCCTCGTTAAAAAGAGTATTTGTTTTATTCTAGAGTTCTGTTAGATATCGTTGCAACAAACATGGAGGTACACTTGTATTGTTATAGTTTTAGAACATGCACCAACTTTTGTCAAGAATAAAATTTTCTGAGAAATCGATAATAAAAAAGTTTTCCATTTGTTGCAGACTTAGTGGACCACGCTGTAGATACTATAAAAAACACAGCTAGTTGGACCGAAACTTCCATCGTATTACATACATTTTATAATAAACCGATTGTTCGAAACCCTAAAGATTTTTTTGTCTCTATGATTTTGAGTGATTCAAATGGGCATTAAATAAAGGGAATGTAACAGATTTATTACTTATAGTGTGTTATGATTACATATTTTGGCTTTTTGTAAAATATTCGCCATATAGCTTATGAAATGTATAAAAGTAAATGCTAAAAAAAAGTATATATGAAATATTCGTATACGTAGAATTCCAAAAGAGGAATGAAAAATTTACTATACGTATAATACAAAAAGTTACAAATCATGCAATAAAGAAGGACGCAGATGAGAAAAATAATAATTGTAAGATTGGTCGACTCACCTGAAAATACGACCATCGTAGCCCGCCTTCGGTCGAAGAGGCACCCACCACTTAAAAATATTTTTCATCCTCAACAAAGTGCTAATGAGTCACACAATCACACTGACTAAAGGTGCATATTCACCAAAAAACGAGCACGAGCGAGCATGAGTGAGCATTCGTGTATGTTTGCTCGTGTTCGCTCAACATATTGATGTCTCGTCCACATCAGAGCGAATATCTTCAAGTTCGTAGTCGTAGTTGATCCATCTACTTTGTGCAAGCACCTTTTAATGTACCGCCTTCTTCTCGATCTTTTCTGAACGCGAACAAGCATACGTTCGCTCGCTCGCTAGCCCGTACTCACCAGACGATTATTGATGCAGAATGCTCGTTCACTCTTGTTCGCTCGTGATCGCTTTTTTGGTGAATACGCACCTTAACGGGACGAGCGATAAGTACGAAATCATATGGGTATGAGATTCAAAGATCTAGCAACGGCCAAAGAAGGAATACGATTCTCGAATAATTAAGATTGATCTTCCATCAGGTGAGTCGACTAATCTTACAATTATATCGCTTTTTTAGAGGTGATCCAATCACGGTCATTAGGACAGGATTCCCGGTATTCAATAATTACACATCGTGTTTGAAGAAGATTAGGTTGGATTGTGAAGGCAAAAACAAGAAAACGAGATCCTGAAAAGACGTTTGGAGACCAACAGGTCAGCTCACATGGATACTGAAAAATCTGACCACTTTCAAGTTTATACTCAGGTGAATGACAGAAGAAGTTGTACCTGATGGACGAAATATGCCACAACTACCATAGACTACTAGGTATCTTTGCATGTAGCATGATTCATTCCTGATGGGACGACGATCATGTGATTCGCCTCTGTCAGCTAGCAAAAACGATGATCCCATATCGAAAGGATCCTGATTTATTAAACGGTTTTATTAAGCTTGCCCTATTTGTTTGGGTCTAATTTAGTAATTGAAGTTTGACTCCCTTTCTGTTGACAAATTGATCTGATATTTGATACAAAAAATTACTTTTGATGACATTACAATTCAATAAATTCTGTATCATTGTAAATAATGGATTACATATTTTTTAACAGCTACCACAATATGGGTATCAAAGGACAGGGCTTAACTAGCGGAATAGTAGTACATTTTGAAGAGAATTCGAATTCAAGATGTCCGCAACTACAAAATGGAGGATTATATATCATTTCACAACTACCAAATGACAGAGCTTGACTAGTACTGTTTAAAATCTGTCGCACCCATACGAACGACAACTCTCAGAAGTTGAGAAACTTGTGCGAGCTAAGGACTAACTAGGTCTCACCTTTTAACGTGTGATTCCTAACACGGTTGCAGAATCATCCCAGCTTCAACCAGATAAATTATCTCGAGAAAAATATCTGGTCGAGGCAGGAATCGAACCCACGGTCTTCCGATCGTGAGTCGTGCGCACTACCACCGCGGCCAATTCCACAACTATAGTAGTACACTATGAAAAAAATGATATAACCTATACACAAAACTTAGTAAATTCAGAATCGTGATACAAGCATGGATATCCCACCCAAGTTAAGATTTTGTATCGTGTCGAGGACTGTGTGGCATTAGAGTGACTGAAAATGATATGTCGTTAGCGATACACCACCCAAGTTAAGGTAAAAAGTTAAAAGCTTCATGTAATGACGAGAAAAAGAAAGTGTAACCGATAACAGGTGAAATGACGATACAAACTTCTCATCGTGGGCCATGTATTGTCACAGGACACACTGCAAAGTATTCTGAGAAGCAGCTCTAAGCTTCAAAAACTTAGGAAACTATTTGAAGTGAGGTCTTGAGGATAGTTTAACATCCTTTCGCTGGTTTGACTTTGGCGGCCGTAAAAATACTTGTGAAAGTGGAAGATGAAAGCGATGTTGGGACGAACCGTTCCTAAATTGAGCCTACCGTATGAAAAACCATGGTTTTTCAAGGAGAATCCTTTTTACCTAGGTTGCAGATAGTGATATGAGTAAAGAAAATAGTTCTGAGCATGCAATACCGAAAGAAGAAAAAAAATTGACAAACAATACATACCACCATTCTGAAATTGAAATCTGGATAGCTGGGTTTTGTGGGTAATGTATAAAATTACAAAAGTACGACAACAAATGATATGAGCCTGATCGGCGGCTAATGGATTAGTATGGTACAGTTCTGTCAGAGGTTACTGGGTTTGATGAGATTTCCTATACCTACAAAACGACGATCGTGCATCAATTGGTCTTGTGGAAGCACAAGTAAAATATATGATGCACTGACTTCATGGTAATCGTGCGGACTCACTACATAGTATTAAACAAAGTCTCTTCTCGTCCTTAAGTATGCTTAGACCTTAAAACAACGCAACGGATTTTGAAGCGGGTTTTTTAATTATCCTCTAGAAATAAGACCCATTTACGAAGCGGCCATACCGGCCGGGGGCAACTCTACAAATAGCGCGTCGAAGGCCGCGCTTCTTCCTATAGCACTTTTTGATTAGCAGCGATTGCACGTTTTTCTATGTATATTTAGTATCAGCATTGCACCCGTGCAGAGCCGAGGCGTGCTACTATATAAAAAACAAGAGATTTTTGGTAACCAGTAGTTGATGGTTGGTCCAGCATTACCTCTTGCTAGGTACTCCTGGATCAACTGTCGCAGTGAGTTTAAAAATTGAGTAAGAGATGCGTCGTTGGATCTATAAAGAAAATATTGAGTTGAACGAGAAAAGAGTGGCTCAAATAAACTTCATACATTTATGAAACAATGCCTACAGATATCGAGCGACTCAATGACAACCTATATTGAGGAGGAAAGCAACAGGTACTGAGTTCAAAATTGTGTGGCTGAACCAACCCAAAAGCTACAGGAAGAAAGTATACAAGAAAATGAATTACTTGTATTATCACATGTAACTAATTTTAGGGAATAAACCATTAGTCTTTCACGTATAAACTCCGTGATCGTAACGATAAATCCAAACAATTTTGTAAAAATAANCCATTTTTTAAAGGTTTTATCAATCAATATTTCATAACCTCTGGAAAACACCCAGAGTCGAATTATTTGTTACATAAAAATTTTAGCGGAGATCATATCTCATTCGCTACTTCTTTCAAAGTTTCTGATCGGATATTATCATATCCGGGTGACTTTTTTGGTTTTATTTTTCTTATTTTTTCCATAATTTCGAGCTCATTCGTGGGGTATAGGTACATTGTGTGTTCCAGATTGACAGATTCAACTCTATAATTTTGTAAGTTTGGTATATCGTTTGCTAAGTTTTTTCCCAATTCGCTATAATGTTTGTTGAAATTATCGGCAATCTCCATTTTCTCTGTGATGATAGACCCATCATATAATTCTATTTTGTCAATAACTTTTTTTTGTTCATTTTCTCCACACACGTTCCTAATGAACTGCCAAATAGAATGTTTTCTTAGCTACCTTGACGATTTTGTTATGCTACATATGTTTCTTTCAATGGGGAAGCAAACTGTCAATCTGTTGTACATAGAGGGCGCTAAGTGTTTGTCATCAAAAGATACATTGGTTATATGGGAACATTTGTGATTTTTCGTTTTCATTCAGAGAAATGGGTCGTTGTGCTTCTTTCGGGTGCGAAGAAATGGGAGTTTATAAGTTTCCTGAAGGTACTGTTATGAGAAGAAAATGGGAAAAATCTTTGAGGATAGTAAAGTTCAAATGTACTGATCATTCTAGGTTTTGTGGTGAACATTTCAAAGATTCTGATTTTGAGATTACTTCAAAGACAACTGGTAAGTAGCATTCATTCTACTTACTCATATGTGATATTAATTTTATAAAATTTTATAGGGTTTTCACTCCAAAGAAAATATTTTGAAAAATCAGCTGTACCTTCCATATTTCGCTGTACTTTGAATTCTATCAGTCCACGGATGTTGAGATTAGAAAAAAGGAATGCTAAACGTGATTTGGAGCCAGCTAGTAGTGAATCATCTGAAATTTTCGAAGATAAAGATACCAGCTTCCTCTCAATGGTAAGTATCCAATAAATAAATTTATTATATTGACTGCTCAACCACCACTATATTCCATTTGATTTTCAGATATAAATTATCTAGACCTCCAACAAGAAATTGCCTCAGAAGTTACTTTCCACCCCGAGGAAGATAATCCTGATAAGGAAAGCCACCTAATCAGCCAGTCCACACAAACACCAACTTTATTCAGATTATTTTCCAATGATGAATTTCTAA